TGTTGACCAGGATGGTCTCGATCTCTTGACCTCGTGATCCACCCGCCTCGGCCTCCCAAAGTGCTGGGATTACAGGCTTGAGCCACCGTGCGCGGCAAGTCTGATGATTCTTAAGGCCCAGGCTGGAGTGCAGTGGTAAGATCTCAGCTCACTACAACCTCTCCCTCCCAGGTTCAAGCAATCCTGCCTCAGCCTCCCAATTAGCTGGGATTACAGGTGCCCACCATGACACCCAGCTAATTTTTGTATTTTCAGAGAGATGGGGTTTCACCATGTTGGCCGGGCTGGTCTCGAAATCCTGACCTCAAATGATTTGCCCACCTCGGCCACCCAGGGTAGATTTTGAAACATTTTGAAAGGTTTTGAGAGCTGAGGCGGCTCTGGCAGCATCTGGGCAGGGGAGCAGGTACACTGTTTACCTGCCCTTCCTGAGCCATGTGGGCAAAGCCATTCCTGGGGTTAGAGGGAGGTGGATTCGGCCCTGGGGACCTGCCTGTTTCTTTCTTGGCCAGGAGTGGTGGAGCTCAGGGAGGGCAGGGTGGGAGGCAGAATCGCACAACCACCGCGCCTGCCGCCGCCGCCGCCGCCGCCCCCCCCCCCCCCCCAAGCTCCATGCCCTCATTCTCAGAACCTGTAATTAGGGCACCTTGAACAGCAAAAAGGACTTTGCAGAAATGATTAAGTGAAGGATCTTGGGATGGGGGATTGTCCTGGGTTCTCTGGTGGACCCAAAGCAATCGCCAGCCTCTTCACAAGAGGGAGGCAGGAGGGTCAGAGTCAGAGAGGAGCTGTGGCCGGAGGGGTGCGGGGCCAGAAGCCACGGTAAGCAGGCACCCCTAGAAACTGAAAAAGGCGAGGATGGGTCCCCCCGGAGCCTCCAGGTGGAACACAGTCGGCTCAGCCCCTTCTCGACCCCTGACGCCTCCAGATGTAAGATAATACATTTGGATGGGTTTTTGGGTTTTTTTTTTTCTTTTTTGTTGTTTGAGACAGAGTCTCACTCTGTCACCCAGGCTGGAGGGTAGTGATGTGAGCTCAGCTCTCTGCAACCTCTGCCCCCGGTTTTAAGCAGTTCTCCTGCCTCAGGCTCCCGAGTAGCTGGGATTACAGGTGCCCACCAGCACACCCAGGTCATTTTTGTATTTTTAGTAGAAACAGGGTTTCACCATGTCCGCCAGGCTGGTCTCAAACTCCTGACCTCAGGTGATCTGCCCGTCTCAGCCTCCCAAAGTGCTGGGATGACAGGCGTGAGCCGCCGTGCCTGGCCCATTTGTGTTTTAAGCTACCAAGTTTATGGTAATTAGTTACTGGGGCCACGTGAAGGCTCTTTATGAAAATGAAGCAGGTGGTGGTGAGTGGTGGGCAGGTGTGACTGTGGGGGGAGGGAAGTGTGTCTAAATCTCGTTCCCAGAGCCAGCAAGGGAGCTTCCAGGGTGCTTGAGCCCAGGAGAGGGCCGAGCCTGGAGTACACGTGAAGTTGGGTGGGCATCTCAGGCGTATCCCAGCTAAGGAGGACCGCTGGTGCCCCAGCGTGGGTCCCTGGATCAGCACTATTTGATGGAGCTCTGTCAGGATGGATGAGGTCTGCACGGCCCGGTGTGGTAGGCAGTGCTCTCGTCTGGCTAGCGCAAATGCTGAATTTCTACTTTTATTTCATTTTAACCAATGTAAATTAGAATTGTCACGTGTGACTTTGGACTGTTGGACTGTACAGCTCTGACTGTTTCAGCCCTTGCCTTCCCCCGCTAGCCACACGCACAAGGGATTGTCATTTGGAGAAATATTTTATAAACACTTTGACTTGAATGAGCAAGAGAAGATAGTGTGTGTTGAGATAGAATGTGTACCCTAAGTATGTCTGGAACACACATTTTACTACCAAACAGTACTTCCTTTCCCTTTTTCAAACACTGAGAATGTGCAGATATGAACCACTCTTCCGCCTCCCACCACCCCATAGGGGCTGCCCAGGAAGGCTGGGCTGGGCAGGCACCTGCAGTGACCTTGGGCCCCTCTTGGGGGCACTGGTGAGAACTCACTCCTTGACCAGGCTCAGCCAGCAGGCCAGAATTTTTTTTTTTTTTTTTTTTTTTAATTGAGATGGAGTCTTAGTCTGTCACCCAGACTGGAGTGCATTAGCACTATTTTGGCTCACTGCAGCCTCCTGCCTCCTGGGTTCAAGCAATTCTGCCTCAGCCTCCTGAGTAGCTGGGATTACAGGCGCACACCACCACACCCTGCTAAGTTTTGTCGGGAGGCTGAGGCAGGAGAATTGCTTGAACCCAGGAGGCAGGAGGCTGTAGTGAGCTGAGATCGTGCCATTGCACTCCAGCCTGGGCAACAAGGGGGAATCTTTGTCTTAAAAAAAAAAAGAAAACACACACACACACACACAGCTCACAGACTTCAAACGCCACCTACCTGAGTGAAGTGTGGGCAAATTGCTAGCCAGGGTTGTAGGCCTCTCGGCTCCTAGACAGCCATCAGGGACGCCGTTAGCCTTGCATTCCAAGCAGGTGCCTTTCAGGCCATGCTGACGCAGGGCTGTTGGCTCTGTCACCTTGCCACAGTCCGTCCCTATCCAGGGCCAGTTGTAACTGTAAAAATCCAGTCCTTAGCTGCTTTCGGGGCAGTGGGCCACACCAGACCACCTTTGAACAACCTCTGCACGAGCCGCTTGGAGAGAGAATGTATGCAGTTGGCTCTTTAACATTTTATGTTGTTTCCTTGCCAATGATTGTAATAAAATGGCAATAAACATTTTAAAGGAAGCACTAGATAAGTAATTTGTTTGGACTGTGAATGAATGAAAGTCATTAAAATTCATAACTGAAATCCTATTCACAGATGTTAATTTGCCGAGTTAACTTCAGAGGCATATAGCAGAAAGCTGTCACCTTAGAATGAGCTGATTAATATAGTAAAGGGAAGTCAAAGTTTCAGGAGGCCTCTGCTTGCCATCCCGGAAGAGGAAAAACGGAAACATGAGGGCCTGTGGGCAGCTGGGGGGCGGGGCGGGTATAGGGAAGAGACTGATGTGTCCTTAGGGCTGGGTGGGGCAGGACATGGCTGACCTCCGGCATTTTCTGTCACCAATCTCGGCTCCCTGCAACCTCTGACCCCCTGCTTCATGTGATTCT